GAATTCAGCCAGAGCACCTTGAAGATAAGCTAAGGAGAGAGCTTCTGTCCCTAATTCTAAGATCCCAAAGGGCTGATTTGTTGAGAAAGGAGCAGAAAAATTACTCTGCCATCTTCAAAGAAACAAAACAAAAAACACTGTAAGGGAAGTTGCCTATGCAAACTGAGATAGAAGGGGGAGAAAAGCCTGTCCTTGGCAAGTTGTAACCATCCAATAAAATAAGTGGGGGTGGGTGGGGCTGTGGGGGTGTGGGTAGGTAGTTATTATAAATAAACTTAAAAAAGATCTCTTTTTAATTATTCACCCTGTTAAAGCATACCATTGTGTAACACTAGTTCTAATAGGTCTGAATAATGAAAGTCCAGAGTGAGATACTGGAGAAAATGCTGAGAGAGCAGAAAGAAGGAGCAAACCAAAGCCACCTTTACCTCCCCAGCTTCCCAGCAGAAAAGAGAGGAGTTCCTGTTTCCTCCCACCTATATTCCTCTCTCTGCCCAGCCATCTCACTTCCTGTCTGTACAGACCTTCAGACCTCTATGGTTAACCAGTGGCAAGCTCCACCTTCTTGATCTTCAGACAGGCTTTATTTGTACAAAGAAGATATCACCACATCATTCAGGAACAATCTTGCGGTTCCCCCTAAAACCGGCTCTCAACCTTCCTAATGCTGTGACATTTTAATACAGTTCCTCATGTTGTGATGATCCCCAAAACAAAGTTATTTTCTTTGCAACTTCATAACTGTATTTTCCACTGTTCTAAATCATAATATAAATATCTGATATGCAGGCTATGATATGTGACCCACAGGTTGAGAACTGCCACCCTAAAAGGAACCATGTATCCATCTGTATTATAGTAGCTTGCTATTTTTCTCCTCCAGCTTCTATAACACTAATTTATCTTATGTCTGGATTTACTTATGAATAGAGTCATAGAATGTGCTATTCATGTCTTTTACTGAGCATGTTGTTTCCAAGATTTATCCATGATATAGTATAAATTGGTATTTCATTCTTTTTGTTGTTGTTAAATAATACCCATTGTATAGACATGTAGATGTCACATTTTATCTTTTTACTGATGGCTGGCTGGCTGTTTCTATTTCTTTGTTCTTCTGAGTAAGGCCACTATGAACAATTGTTTTCAAGGTTTTTTTTGCATAAAATATGTTTTTCATTTTCATAGGTATCAAATGAGAAATGGAATTCCTGGGTCATATGGTAACCTTTATAAACATTTTTGTGGAATACCATGGTATTTTTAACATTGCATCTACACCAGTTTACATTTTACCAGCAATGTGTGATGGTTCCAGTTTTTCTTCATATATCTTTGTGTGTTTTCAATCACTGTTTATAAAGTGACATTTCATTGTAATTTCATTTGTATTTCCCTTATTGAAGTTTATCCCCTTTTCATATTTATTGACTACTTTTTATCTTGGAGAAATACCAAATTCTTTGCCCATTTGGATTTGGTTAGTTGTCAAAACATGTATTTAAAATAATCAAGTAAGCAATTACAAATACATATCCTTAAAATGTCAGTTTTATTATATAGAAGTCTACTATGTTCCCAATGCAAGTATCATCAGATTTTTTTTCTCTTGGAGATAGTTAATTGGTAAGCTCAGACCAGCATGAGTAGCTAGGAAAAAGCTGAAAGTGAATAGTAGTAAGTATGGCTAGCTCTGTTGTACATTTTGATCCTTAAAACTAAAACCACATGGTGTTGATAGAGGAATACATTGACCAGTGGAAGAGAATAGAAAATACAGAAACACACTTGGAAATTTAATATTTTAATCGAGGAACATCCTAACAGTGGTAGAGAAAAATAGCTTTTAAAAAATTGCATCTCATTTATTCATTTATTTATTATTTTGCAAGTATGTGCATGGATGTGTGTGAATTCCAAGTATAGAGGTAAAAATATGGACTGCTTCACCAATATACACGTCATTTCTACATAAGGACCATGCTAATCTCCACATCACTCTAGTTTTAATATATGTGCTGCTGAAGTGGAATTTTGAGTATGTGGTGTTTATGGTACTGGCGTAAGATAGGTTTGGATACATTTCTCATACCATGCACCAGGATGACCATATAAAAAATAACATTAAAACAATTTGAAGAGCCTAGGCCCACCCCCGTGTATCTCTATCCCAAAGGATCCCATAGACTCTGATGACACCCTATGGAAGGCCTCACCATCCAGGGGGAGCAGAAAGAATATGTGATAGGTAGCGCTTTTTTAGTTGGCAGGGGTGGGAGGTTGGTAGGGAAGGACGGGAGGGAGAGGGAACTGGGATTGTCATGTAAAACAATTTTGTTTCTATTTCAAATAAAATCTGCCAAAAAAGAAAACCCAATAAGATAAAAAACAAAACAACAACAACAACAACAACAACAAAACAAAAACAATTTGAAGAAACCAGGCGGCAGTGGTGCACGCCTTCAATCCCAGCATTTGGGAGGCAGAGGCAAGTGGATCTTGGTGAATTTGAGGCCAGCCTGGTCTACAGAGTGAATCTCAGGACATCCAGGGCTACACAGAGAAACCCTGTCTTAATAAACAAACAAACAAATACTTGCAAAGATGGATAGATTATTTATGACCTAGATACGTAGAAACTTTACTATGACTTAGTCTAGCTGCAAAAATGAAAATCATAGATATAATTACATATGTAGGTATATATACATATATATGTTCATATGTTTATATATTCAAAGTATTTCAGAATCTGAAACTTCAGTGCTAATATGATGCTATAAGTAGAAAATTTCACATCATAAAATTTTGTTTTATAGACAAAATTACTTTTGGATATATAAAGTGTATATGAAAACAATAAATTTCATACTTAGATCTGGTTACTTCCCTAGGTATCTCATTATGTATATGTAAATATTACAAAATCCAAAAATGAAACATTTCTGATGTCAAGCATTTTAGATACTTTTCACATGCTAGGCAAGTCCTGCCACTGAGCTACATCCCAGACTTATACAAACACTTTTGCTTAACAGTAATCAGAGCAAGGAGCAAATGGCAGGTTAAAAGAACATTTCTCAAATATATGATGGACATGAGTTAATCTCTGAAATACATAAAAAACTTGTAAACTAGATAAATGAGAGTTTATGAAACAGGTAATTCATAGGAATAACTATAATGCCTTATGCATTAAATAATGCCCAACATATGTTAAGGACTTAGTTATTTTATTTTATGTATATCAATGTTTTGCCTACTTGGATGTATGTATACCACGTGGGTGAAGTGACAGCAAAAGCCAGTAGAGGGTGTTGGAGTTATGTACTGTTGTTACCTGCCATGTGGGTGTTGGGAATGAATGTCAGTGTTCTTAACCACTGAGCCATTATCTCTCCAGCCCTTCCCAACATCATTTTTAATTAGGGAGATGTAACTTAAAACAATAAAGTCCAATCAATTCTAGCACACAAAACTGCAGCATTTGAATAATACTTTGTTGTCAACAAATGTGATTTTATATACTTTTATATGAGATATGGGAGTGATTCAGAGAAATTTTAGCACTACAAGCAGCATTACACATATGTACTTTTTGGCCCTATATCTTAGATATATACTAAGAAGTATCTGTACACATAGCTAAGTGGTACTATTTCTAATAGCAAAAGGTACAGCAGTCTAAATATTATCTTGAATTCAACAAAACAACTCTTAAAAAAATAGAAGCCATAGGTGAGCTAGATACAAATTTCTTTCAATTTTCTCATGTTGCTGATGTTAAATATTTGTATGTGATAATGCTATTACGATTATTTTTAAGTACCCTTTAAAGCCAGGCAGTGGTGGTGCATACCTTTAATCCCAGCACTTGGGAGGCAGAGGCAGGAAGATCTCAGTGAGTTCAAGGCCAGCCTGATCTACAAATCAAGGACTGTTACACAGAGAAACCCTGTCTCGCTCAAAAAGCCTATAAGAAAAAATAAGTACCTTTTAGAAATGTTATAATCCTTTTCAGATAGTTTGTTTTAATACTGCAGCTAATGAGAGCCTCTCAAAGTAAACTTCTGAGGCCTCTGTCACATCTTTTAGTGATTACTGTTTAAGTATTTTAGATTAAATTATATCATTGGAATTTATTTCAAAGTATGCCAGTAGCATAGGGCAACTGAGAGGTAGAGATGAAATAAGATTTGCTATGAGTTGGAAACTATTTATTTTGATGATTTTGTTATTATAGGTTTTCTTTGTGTTTAACTTTCCCACAAAATGTATGGAATTTAAGTAAGTGTAAATGAAGAGTTCCTTTGGAACAAGCACATTGATAATTAGGGTAGAAAATTAGACAAAACCTTCTCATGCACCATGATCCTGGTAAATAACAATACAAAATCCATTTGCAATATTTCTTATTTGTGTTCTTACCCTCCCTCCTACCTGTGTGTGTGTGTGTGTGTGTGTGTGTGTGTGTGTGTGTATGATACAATATTTAAGATATATTTTTCTGTTAGTTTAATTCTAAGGATTAAGATAACAATGTTTATAGTGATTTGCTTATTAGGCTGCAATTACAAAAGATTTGGATTATTAAAATAATTGATGTAGTGGAAGTGAAATTTTTCTGTCATACTTTTTGTGACAGTCATACTTTCAAGTTTTGCTTGAACATAAACCTAGATGTATCAGATGTATGAGAATATTGTAAAAGGCATTTTCCTTTCTCAAATTGTATAACATTGAAATTGTTCATTTAATAATTTTAAGTATGCTGTTCTGATGAGTCATAAAGATCCTAGGTTGTATAAAATCATATAGAAGAATAAAAATTTATCTTTCTTTTAAATATTTTTCTTTAGAGCCCTCATTATGCACTAAAATCATATAGATAGTATGACTTGTTTATTGATCATCAGTGACATTAACAATGAAATTTTATGCTTTTTCTTTTGTCAACAGGTTGATATTAGAAGTTTTCTGGTTATTAGAAATTGAATGTAATGGCAGCAGAATTTTTAAAGAGTTGCTGTAGAGGATGTTTCTATGGTGAAACAGAAAAGCACAAGTGTGAGTATTATTTTGATTTTGGTAACCTCTTACTTAGTGCCTTCTCTGTGGCATTTAATAATAAATGAGTAAATTAGGAATGTTTTCTGACTTTGATGGGAAGGCACACTAGGTTGTTACTTCAGAACTCCCAAGGACCTTGAGGTACAGTGGAGAGATTAATTCAAACCATGAGAAAACCCTGAACATCACCATAAAGAAGGTAGCATTTGTTGTGGGAGCCTGAATAGAATTTGGCAAGCTGGTGGAAAGAAGGAAGTACAAAAATCTGAGAGTTGGACATAGGCAGGTGAATGGAATAAAATAGTCAAGATAAGGAGAGAAGTGTGCTAGGGAAACAAACTCTGATAAATATTTTGATGCAAATAAAGACAACTTCCACTTTATGTTCAGTTACATTAAAAATATCTTGTGAATGAATGATCACTGTGCTGGCCAATTTTATGTTAACTTGATACAAGCTAGAGTCATTTGGGAAGAGGGAACCTCAATTGAGAAACTCCTTCCACCAGATTTTCCTGTAGCCAAGCCTGTAATTCATTCTCTTGGTTGATTATTGATGTGTTTGTGTGGGGCAGCTCACTGTAGGTGGTGCTGGTGGTCCTGGGTGCTATAAGAAGTCAGGTTCAGCAAGCCAGTGAGCAGCATCCTCCATGGCTTCTGCTTTAGTTCCTCCCTGAGTTCCCTGGATGAAGGACTACAGGCTATAAGCTGAAATAAACCCTTCCCTCCCTAAGTTGATTTTGGTCATGCTGTTTTATCACAGCACTAGAAATCCATATAAGACAATCACTGAAGAAGAAACTCATAACTTTATCAAGATCCACATTCATGAAAGATTCCTAGACTAGCTATTTCCTTTTATATTGTATGGTTTCTTATCTCTTCAGGGTTAAGATTGCAACTTTACTTTTCTCTGGTTCTTTATTTCTTGTAGAGTAGAGCTTCTTAGTATATATTTGGATATGAAGTTTTATTAGTCCATTATTTGATGCCAGTAACACAGTGCCTTTGCTTATTACAGACTGGATAAGGAGTTTATTTTGGTCCACAATTCTGAAGGTCAAAGGTGACAATGGTTTTCTTGCTGGCAGTATCCTGAGGCAATATAGAGTATCACTTGATAGAAAAGCAGGGAATGAACACATGTAATGATCTCTCTGTGTCTCTTACAAAGCCACCAGCATCCAACCAGTGATTCTCTATCCCCAAAGCCCCATATCTAAACACATGATTTGTTTAAGTTTCCGTTGATAGTTTTACTTTCCTTACAAAGTGGATTGTGGGTTAATACCCTTATAGTAGGGATTAAATGTCAACCCATGGGCGATACACTTCAACCATATCCAGTTTATAGTAGAAAGTTTCTGTTTTACATTAAAACATTTCATAAATTCCTGCACTATAGTAGTTGTACTTTTATTCATTCTACAGATAATACCAACTATATATAAAGATCAACTGTCCTTTTCCAACCTATCTTAGTTATACAACTATGTGTATGCTATTTTAGAGAAAATACAGGGGAAATTGCTGATGTGATAAATATTTAGTCATTATGCATTTTATTTTGTGATTTGTTTGAGAGTTTTATAGACTTGAAGACTTTTGGCTTCTCAGAATTGACTTATGTATTTGAGACTCAGGTTTATCCATAGAATTAACAACAAAAGTTACTGTGTTTATAGCATTTTAAAATGACTAGATTTTTATTTGAAGATATTAATTAAATTCTGAAATAAACTTACTTTCCATCAATGAGTTTTTATGGGAATGACTCTTAAAAACTGGTTTATCATTCTAATAGGATAATGTGTTTTGGCAGTAATATATTAATTTATTAAATCTTGGTTCACCAAGATTAAATTCCAGAAGTGCTTGTTAGAACTCGAGTAGCTTGTATCAGAATGTTTTTCTAAAATTACTTTAAAAAGGCCAGGCATGGAGTCATACACTCTTGTCCTAGCATTCAAGAGGCAGAAGCAAGTGGCAGAAGCCAGCAGATCCCTGTGAATTCCAGGAAAGTGTGGTCTACATAGCAAGTTCCAGGCTAGTTAGGGTTACATAGTAAGACCCTGTCTCAAAACAAAATAACAAAATATAATGAAAATAAAAATAAAATTGATTTAAAAAGTACTAACTATTATGGGTTTAGATTACATATAGTCTATATGCATAATTGTGACTTACTTCTGATCTTTTTCTTCCTTTGAATGCAGTTTCTGTGGAAAGGGAATTTAAAGCATCAGTCTCAAATAGCCAAAATACCATCTGTACACCTCCATTGACTTCTGTTTCAGTAAAGTCCCAAGTTGGCTGTAGTGAGGATTATTTGCTTTCCAAATTACCATGCGATGGCAAAGAAGTACCATTTGTGGTGCCCAGGTTTAAATTATCTTATATTCAGCCCAGGACACAAGGAACTCCCTCACATCTGGATGAACTGGAAGGTAAACAGTAAAATATCATGATTTAAAAGTCATCATTGACCATTTAAAAGCTATTAATGGTGTTATTTTGCTTTATGTATTTTTCACACAAATTTATGCAAATATTTATATTTGAGTTCTTTTCTGTAGAACAACTTAATGAACAATATTTTTGAAATGTCCCATTGTAGAAACTGATCACAGTATAGCATGGCACATTTATACATAGTTTGATTTAAAAATGATGTATTTTTATTTATATGTGTATGTGTTTATATTGGGTATACCACGTTTTTTTGTTTGTTTGTTTGTTTTTTATGCTTGTGAAGGCCAGAAAAGAGTATTGGATCTCCTGGAGCTAGAGTTACAAGTGGTTGTGAGCTGCCTAGTGTGGATGCTGGACACTGAACTTGAGTGCTCTGGAAGAGCAACAAGTGCTTTTAACTGTTGAGTCATATCTCTCCAGCTCCTCCAGTTTGACTTAAAAAATATAGGCATACTCTCCTTTATGCAACTAGAAAGAAAAAAGTAATCAGTAAAGAATGAAACAGAAATAGTTTACTTACTATTTTATTAAATTTGGTATAATAAATTCTTTCATCTTCAGGTATACTTCCCTGAAGTATAGGTAATAGGTACATGAATAAGGTAAAGTCCTTGTCTGAAATTTGGTTCATATTGTAGAGGTTAATTAGTAAAGATAAAATGAAACGATTAAAAAATAGTTTGTATTAGTCCATTGAAATACTGTCAGTCACAGTGGACTTTCCCCCAAAATTTTACTAAAAAAAATTTTCAAGTATATAAAGGAATTGAAAGAACTTAACAGTAATACCTCTGTTTGTAATACTTAAATTGTCCAATTAGCATTTTACTATGTATTTTTCATCATTAGTTTATATAATGCCATCCTTCCTTTCAATATTAACCCTCTTTTTTGGCAGCGAATGGGTGAAACATTTAAGAATGTATTGAAGCCATCAATATACTTCTAGCATTTCCTCAGACTGTGTATTAGGAAGGTTGTGTAGGGGGAAGAATAGAGGAGAGCAAAATAAGAGATACCATAAGAGAGGGAGCCATTATAGGTTTAAAGAGAAATCAAGCACTAGGGAAATGTCCAGAGATCTATAAGGATGACACCAACTGGCCATCTAAGCAGCAGTGGAGAGGCTACCTTAAATGCCCTCCCCTGATATTGAGACTGATGAATAACTTATATGCCATCCTAGAACCTTCATCCAGCAGCTGATGGAAGTAGAAGCAGATACCCACAGCTAAACACTGAACTGAGTTGGAATCCAGTTACAGAGAAGGAGGAGTGATGAGCAAAGGTGTCCAGACCAGGCTGGTGAAACCCACAGAAACAGCTGACCTGAAAAGGGGGTGCTCTTGGTCCCCAGACCAATAGCTGGGAAGCCAGCATGGAACTGATACAGACCCCATTGGTGTCAGTAAGGAGGCCAGGGAAATATATGGGGCCTCTTGTAGTAGATCAGTACTTATCCCTAGCATAGGAATGGACTTTGGGAGCCCATTTCACATAGAGGGATACTCCTTCAGCCTCGACGCACGGGGGAAGGCCTAGGCTATCCCAAAGGATATGACAGACCCACCCCCACCCCATCAAGACTGAGCAAGGCATCACCCCATATGGAATGGGCTTCAAAAAGGCAGCTCATGCACTAGGGATAGAACCTGTTCCCACTGCCCGGGATCCCACAAACAGACCATGAATATATTTATATATATAACAATAATAAAATAATGCTCTTAGGTTCATTGCTACTCTTATTGCCATAAACTAAGTCTCATAGTAACATTTTGTTTATGTGCTAAGTGATTTGTTAGTTTATAAGGTATGTAAATAATGGCTCTCAGACATTACAACTCTTTAGAATTTCCCTGCTTTAGTACTGTACTTGGATTATGCAGTGTTATCTGAACCAGAGTGAAGATAAAATTTCTTCTCATATCTCATATTTTATTTTTCTTTTCTGAACTCAGTGAAAATAATTTGTTTTTATCATTTAGCTTAATTCAGAAAATACCAGTTTATTTTGTAGGTTCAATTTTAAATAGGACAGAGTCAAAGATAACAATAATTTAAACTTTTTAAATAAATTCCTGTGTGTTTTATGTGTGTAAACTATATATGAGTGCATATTTGTGTTTGTGTTGTGTATATATACTAGTGGAGGTCAGAGGGTGGCATTTGTTGTCTTCTTTTGCTTTCTATCCTATTTTTGAGACATTGTCTCTCCCTGAGCCCAGAGCTCACCAATTGGCTACATTGGTTGGCTAATGGGCTCTGGGAATTCTCCTGTCTCTGTCTTTTTAGACCTAGGGTGACAGATAAGTGCCAACACATTTGACTTTTATGTGGTGAGATCTAGAGTCAGGGTCTCCTGTATGTAAGGTAGGTACTTACTGACTAAGCCATCTTTTCAGCCCTTAACCCTAAACATTTAAAAGTATATGTGCATACATATGGCTGCATGAATGTCAGGGGATGAGAAGACTCCCTCTGGTGACGTTTTTAGGAATGCCATCTGCCTCCACTGAGAAGAGGATCCCTTCCTTAGGCTCACCACTTGGGCTGGATGAACTGGCCATCATGCCCTCTCACACGTCTATGCCCAGCAGCTTTGATGGATTCTGGGAAATAAACTCAGATCCTTGTGATTGTAAAGTAATGACTTTATTGACTAAGCCATCATATTTTAAACCTCTGGAAAATCTTAGTTTATGCTGTATGATTATTAAACCTGAAAGGAACTGTTAAATTGCTTTAGCCTTTTAAAATTGTAAGTGTCTAACATATGGAGGAAAATGCACAAAACAGAAATGTAAAGCTCAGTGATATATTAAAGAGTAAAATACCCAATAGGTATTTTAGGCACCACCCAAATAAGGAAAATGGAGAATTACCAGCAAGCCTACCTCTTATTCACTAAATATCACAATTGTTATTGCCATAATTTTTGTTTTTCTTCTTACTACATATGCATTTATTCTTAAATGTTATGTGTTTTTCCTGTTTTTTGGTCTTTATTTTTTGTTTAGTTTTTCCTTTATTGAAAATAGAATTTTTTCATAGAATGTATTCTGATTACAACCCCCAACTCCTCTCAGTTCCTCTCTGAGTCCCTCACATTCAGAGTCATATTTTTTCTGTCTCTCCTTAGAAAACAAACAGGCATCTAAGGAATAATAATAAAATAAGATAAAACAAAAACAAATCAGAGTAAGATAAAACAAATGGAGGAAAAGATCCAAAAAAGCACAAGAAATATACATAGCCTTAGAGACACACATGTAATCTCATAAAAACACAAAACTGGAAGTCATGCTATGTATGCAAAGGACATGTAAAGTAAAATAAATAAAATGCCCAAATACAACATTATGAGACAAAGAACCTCCAAAGATGCCATGGAGTTCATTTTGTGTTGTCCATCCACTGCTGGACAGTGAGCTTACCCTTAAGTCAGTTTTCCCCATAGTGAGACTTCCTTGAAGAAAACCAATTTTTCATTGGCAAGTGGTTATCAACTGGAGAAAGTTTTTGGGTTAGGAATGGGAACTCCATCTGGTACAGACGTGTGGAGGCCCTGTGCTTGCTGCCACAATCTCTGTTAATATGGTCATGCTCTGTTTAGAAGGGCTTGTTTTATTAGTGTCCTCCATCCCCTCTGACTCTTATACCCTTTTTGCCTCCATTGTGTAAATGAACCACTTTATCTTTATCCATTCTTCTGCTGATGAACTTCTAAGATGACTGTGTCCAATTTCTGGCTATTATGAATAGAGCAATAGTGAACATGGTTGAGCATGTGTCTCTGTAGTAGGATGAAACATCCTTTGGATATATATGCCCAAGAGTGGTATAGATGGATATTGAGGTAGATAGATTCCCATCTTTTTGAGGAACTGCCACACTGATTTCAAGTTCACACTCCTGCCAGCAATGAATGAGTGTTCCCCATACTCTATTTCCTCACCAGCTTGAGCTATCATTTGTTTTATGGATCTTGGCAATTCTGATTGGTATAAGATGAAATCTCAAAGTAATTTTGATTTGCATTTCCCTGATGACTAAAGATGTTGAACATTTAAGTGCTACTCAGCACTTAATTCTCTTCCCAGCTTGCTGCTTTGTCTCAATGATGATATTATTTGCTGTATGGAAGCTTTCAGTTTCTTTTAGTCCCACTTGTTAATGGTTGTTTTTGGTGATATATTATTTGTTATTTAATAATGCTTGCCTGAGGGTTCAGAATGCAAAAGTCGCCACAAGCCATAGAAGCCAGGCAGTGGTAGTATACACTTTTAATCCCAGAACTCCGGAGACAGAGGCAAATGGATCTCTGTTAGTTCAAGGCCACACCAAGCTTACATGAAATTCATCCAGTCTAAAAGAGAAACAGCTCACACAAAGGAGATCTCTGTACTTGGGATACCAAGCCTTTAATCCCAGCTCTAGACAGGTAGATAAGATAGGAGCAGGGCATTCAGTATTCAGTTGCAGATATTTATTCTCCAGCCACGATGAGGATAGGACAGCCCTTTCAGCTTGAGTTAAGAGATAGGAGCTAGCAGCTGGCTGCTTTGCTTCTCTGATCTTCATCTTGAACCCCATTATCTGTCTCTGGGTTTTTATTATTTGTGTTACAGTTGTTTTTTAATGCTGTGCTATTGGTGTTCTGTTTAGAAGTCTTTTCTTGTTTTAGCCTTTATTTAAATAAAATGACCTAGTCAGCATATATTCTTTTGTTTATATATTTTTTATTCTGCATCATGTTTATGAGATTTTATTCAAGTAGCCATAATTTTATTGTTTTCATATCCAAACATAAGTATGCCTAATCTATTATTTGTTCTAAATGACATAGGATATTGTAGCATGCTTATATATATGTGCATATGTAATACCACTGTAAAGTATTTTTGTGGCAAATATATATTAAATTTTTCTATTTTATTTTACTTTGGTGGAAATTGGAGTTTTTTCTAACTTGGCTACTAAGAATAACAATGGTTGTGAACCCTCTTGTATATTTGTCATACATGTATAGCAATTTCAGCTCTATATATGTTTTGGGTGGCATTGTTGGATCATAGAGTATAAATATCTTCAGCTTTAGTAGAAATTACAGAACTCTTTCACAATGATTGCATAGATTTACACCCCTACTAGCAGAATGCAACAGTTAATATTGTTTTATTTTCTTGCCAACACATGTCATTGTCAGTCTTTTTAGTTTTAATCATTTTGCTTACATGTGTATCTTTCTGGGGTTTTAAATCATGTTTCTTTTATGACTAATGAGATTTATAGCCTTCCTTCTAAGTGCCTATTTAAGTTGTAAACAGATTTGTATAGAGGCTTAACTGTCCTCTTCTTGACTTTTAGAGGCTTCTCACATAATGAGACAGTTTTATTTGGTTGCATGTGTCTTTTCCCACTCTGAGTTTCCTGTGTGCTTTCTTAAATAGCCTTTTGATGAACGTCTTTTAAATTTTAGTATGGTTAAAATACTTTTATGATTAATGTTCTGTGTGTAAAATCTTTCTTACGGAAAAGTTAACTATAGAAGGTTTGTCTTTGATATTTAGTTTAGACCTGTGACCTATATGTAATCTTCAAAATAAATATGATTAAAGTAAGTCTTTCCCCCCATATCAGTATCTAGTTAACTTTGTAGTGAAGACCATCTTTTCTCCACTGCTACATGTGATCAAATATCCATAAAATAATCACTCTTTCAGGATCTTGTATTCTGTTATATTAATCTGTTTTTCTATCTTTATACCAAAGTTCAATTCTTTATACCCAGTATGAAAATAATTTTTAATTTTTGTTTTCTTCTTATTCCTTTGTTTTCTAAATATTTACTTTTATTTATATGTGTGTATATGTGTCTCTTGTGTTTGCCATGGTGTGTGGGCCTGAGGAATCCAGAAGAGGAAGTCAGATACCCTGGGGTTGGATTTATGGGTAGTTGTGAGCTGCCTGACATGGGTTCTGGATTCTGAACTCCAGTGCTCTGGAAAAGCTGCAAGTGCTTTTAACAGATGAGCTGTCTCTCACGTCCCTTGATTTTCTTCTTAAAGGTTATGTTTTAAAAATATTCTTGGTTCTTAGTATTTCTATAAATATTTTCTATTGATTTTGCTGTTATTTGATTTCCAACTTAATTGCATTGTGGTTGAAAAATGCTTTATTTGACTTGAGCCGTTTCAAATAAAAAATCTGCTTAGTGTATCTTATTGCATGTGGTCAATTTTTTAAATGTTGTTTTCTTAAAATGGATATATGTAAAATCATTTAAAATATGTTATATATGTAAGTAGAAACATAAGAGGAAATTCAGGTCATGAAGTACAGAATTATCCTTGCACAAAGAAAAATGCCAGAAATTTGCCAGTGTTTCTTAAGAACAGGATTCTTGGCTCATTCCTGATATACATCATGCAATTACAGTCCTATAAAAGTGTGCTGGTTAAGGTATATATTTTAGTATAATTTGTGACAAAGTATTTCTAACATGTTCCTTCAGTGTATCAGTTGTTGGCTTATAGAAACTCTTGCTTTCAGGATCCGCCAGAGCATCTTTTGGAGATCAAAAGGCAGAACTTTGCAGTTCATTCTACCATGGGCCCAGCTATGATGTGTATAATCCATGCTATATGTATCAGCACTTTTCACCTGATATAAGTAGACGCTTTTCTCCTCATTTTGAAACAAAAAAAATGTATGGATCTGGTAAGAAAACATTTTTTGTACTTTTCCTCTGGGCTTATCTTTAACAAATTTAGAAATTAAATCTAAGACCCTAGCAGAAATAGTTATTATTAAGAGCAGTTTTAGAATAAGAGCAAAGCAGACTTCACATGTGTGTGATAAGTGTTATGGCTTCTCTCTGGTGTTATAATTAATATAAAATTGACAGGTAATGTATTGTCTGTTGCTAGTTCCAAATTCCATTTTATTTTCCTTTTAAAAAATTTTTATTATAGATTCTTTTACATACATTTTATGTTGTGTACTTAATAAATATTACAATAGATATTTATATTTCCATTTTCTATTCCAATCAGCTAAATGAATTTAAGAACTCATGATTGAAGGTAGATACAAATAATAAAAAATAACTAGAATTTTTTAGTTTGATATTTGAGACTCTGTCAATTATATAACTACCATGTGTATGTTAGATTCATAAAATTCTCAGGTTTTTAGATTTTATCAGTCTATATGCATACATGTATCAACATCACTGAAAATAACATATTTTCTTAAGGGCTGCTCTGTGCTTAGCACTGTGCTAGAATACACCCTTAGTGAGCAGAGTTCCTTTTTAAAGAGATCTTACAGTTTGGGAAGAGAACTAGAAATAAAAGAGCACATGGGACTCAGGATTAAAATGTTATTATGTATGTGCTCATTAAAGTCAAATTACATTTATCAGAGAATGCTTAAGTTGTGTTAAATTATTTTTTCTGGATGAAGGACTAGGGGAATATAAGAAAAAATGCTTAAAATTTGGTGGGGATATGCAAATGTGTTGTTTGATTGCTATAGACACCTGTTTTTTTTTTAATTCAAATTAGGAACAAGCTTGTTTCACATGTCAATCCCTTCTCCTTCTCCCTCTCCTCTTCCCCATCCCTCCTCCCCCACCCCCAACCTACCCCCCACCCTATCCACCCTCCACTCCCCAGGCAGGGTAGGGCCCTCAACTAGGGCTCCGCAAAGTTCACCACATCATTCTGGGCTGGGCCTGGGCCCTTCCCCATGTGTCCAGGGCAAGAGTGCATCCCTTCATGTGGGATGACCTCTCAAAGTCCCTTCTTACACCAGGGAAAAATACTAATCCACTACCAGGGGCCCCCTGGAGTCCAGAGGCCTCCTCATTGACATCCATGTTCAGGGAATTTTACTCATTTTTAAAATTTGTAATTATTTAGTTACATGAATTATACCGTGTTCATTGTCACTGTGAAATGTTCATTTGGTGAGTTTCTGTGGGTTTCTCCAACCTGGAACAGACACCTTCTATCTTCATTCCTCGTCTCTTCAACTAAGTTCCAGAGTTCAGTTCAGAGTATATCTGTGGATGTTTCCTGTGGGTTTCTCCAACCTGGTACAGACCCCTTAGTTCTTCATTCCTCCCTCTCTTCAACTAAATTCCCGATTTCGGCTCAGTGTATATCTGTCTCTGCTTCCTTCAGGCACTGGGTGAGGGGATCTAGGATGGCATAAAGAGAAGTCATCAATCTCATTTTAGGGGAAACCTATACTGGCTCCCTCTGATATGGTATCTCTCATCCTGCTCTCTCTCCTCTATTCATTCCCCAACTCAATATTTCTGCTCCTCCATTTCCTCTCCTCCACTCCTCTTCTCCGGCTCTCAATCTGGCAGCTCCTTCTCCCCTACCCTTATCCTCCCAGTTAGCACAGGAGTTCCTGCCTCTTCCCATTCCTGGGGTCCATTCCTTTA